AAAAATAAATAAATAAATAAATATTTTAAAAAGACAATGTGCAGGCCAGCGAGATAGTTCAGCAGACTAAAGTGCCTACTTATGCAAGTGCAGGGACCACACCTTACAAATATTTTTATTAAATCAGACCTGGAGATAAAACAATGACTCCTATTGGACAGAAAATGTGGTTTGATCCCTGGCACCACATGCTACACCAGCCCTGCCCTGAGGGTGGGTTGAGCTGGCCAGAGTGCAGGTGTGGTGGGGCATGGTGGCACATGCCTGTAATACCAGTAATGGGGAGGCTGAAAGCAGGTGGATCACCACAAGTCTGCACTGCATAGTGAGACCTTGTACCAAATACATTAAAAAAAAAAAAAAAAAAAGACAATGTGCTGCCACTGTTTTAACAACTGTTAGCTTTGTCCTGGTAACTTCTACTTAAGGGATTATTACAGAGGTACTGCAGGCTACCAACTTAACAGATGATATAATTTTAGGTGTGTACTGTGTTCAGATAATCTTTATATTTAATGCTGGCACACAGAACAGGATGCTTCAAACACTAGCATACACCAAACCAAATATCAATGACTTAATTTTCCCTTGTTCCTATGATGAGCATTACATATTGCAAAGTCTCTTCTTAGGGCCGGCCAGACAGCTCAGAGGACTAAAGTGCCTAACCAGGCCTGGTCCCTGGCAGCATGCTATGCCAGCCCTGTCCCCAGGTGCACTGGGTGTGGTGGCGCATGCCTGTAATCCCAGCACTTGAGAGGCTGAAAACAGGAGAATCACTAGGAGCCCAATCTGTGTAATGAGACTTTCTAGACTCCGTACTAAATACTTAAAAATTTTAAAAAGTATATTCTTGTCATATAAATGGACTGATTTAGAATATGTCAAATCAAATCATGATCAATTACTGACACTCTAAAAATCTTTAATAGAGACAGATTTTTTTTGTTTTCCTTTTTGAAGACAGCATCTCATTACAGCTCAGGTTGGCCTTGAACTCACTTTGTAACCCAGGCTTGCCTGCTACCACACCCATTTATAATCCTTTCAGATCTCTTTATGTTCAGTACTTCATGCTGTTATTTAATGACAGCATGTCCCATTTTCCACAATTTTAAAACCTTAAGTGCTATCTTGGCTGCTCCCATTCCACTAGTTCTCTGAATCTGATTTATCAATTTGCTGACAATGTGTTGTCAATCCTATCTTTGAATTATACTATTCAATGCAAATCCTGCTGCATCTGCCTACTGTATAATTTAATTCTAGTCTTTCTTTAGTTTCTTCCTATGCAGGTTAAATCTTACTATAGTCAAGTGCTTTTTAAAGGGAAAGGGGTAGGGGTAAACTGCAAATGGAGTTTGGATCTTAAGACTTCAGACTGACCTGGATCTAATCTACCTTCCTAAACAGTTTCTTAGTTTACAAGAATGGTCCAGCCAACTGAATATATCACCCTTTCTTTTACTTTTCTTCCTTTCTCCATCCCTGCAGCCACCTTGTGTTACTGGAGATTGAATGTAAGTCTGAGCACTGACCCACATCTCCAGCGGCCCCCCAGTCTCATTAGCTTATACCTACCACCAGTTTTGCTTTTGTGCATTTCAGCCTCTGCTTATGTTTCCTTAGCCTGAAATAAGATTCAGTTAAATGCCTTTTTCCCTCCTAAGACGGGGTCTTGGCTATGTACATTAGGCTGGCCTTGATTTCAGGATATAGCCAAAGCTGGCCACAAATGTAAGATTCCTCCTGCCTCAGTCTCAGCCTCCCCAGGGCTGGGTTATAGAGGTGTGCCACTACAGCTGTTTTAAATGTGGTTTCTTTCAAAAGTCAGGTAGACACAATAAAATCTACTCCACCATTTTTTTCTGAATATATCCTATACCACCCAAACCCATCTTGTGCTATATTTACCTGTGCTCACAAACATTTCATTCATTTGACTTGTATTTACATAAATTCCTCTGGGTACCTGGCAAAATTTCTAACCTTCATTATGACTTCAGGAAATGTGATACCTACTATGTGTGAGACTTTGGGGATGAAAAAAGCAATGATCAAAATAAAATTTCTCATTTTATGGCATCTACATTCTCATGAGTATCTGGAGGGAAGGCAAGTGCTTTGAGGAATGAGAAGAAAGCCAAGCAGTGTTGCTATTCAGGGAGAGTGCTCCTGCAGGCCTGAGTTGATTTATTTGGGGGGGGGGGTTATTTATTTATTTAGTATGTGTGTGTGTGGCCAGCTCAGCCCACCAGGGGGCAGGGCTGGCTGGCATGTGGTGCTGGGGGATTGAACCCCGGTCCCTGTGCTTTGCTTAGCTTGTTCTAAGTAGGTGCTTTAGACCACTGAGCCATCTCACCAGCCCTCTGAGTTGATTTTTAAGCTAAGTTTGAAGTTAAGACAGTGAGTCCTGGAGTGCCCAGACCATGTCTGTATCTTTGGCCACTGAAATAATTTTCCACTGAAAAGCCACTAGATTATCTAGTTCTATGCTGGGTCAGAGACAAAATATACACACAGAAATAATAATGGGCAGAAAGCTTTTTTAAAGCTGTAAAGCAAGCCACAAAAAAAGGGGGGGAGTTATTGATCACAAGGATGTA